TTGCCGCCTTTTCGGGCCCAGGAGGGGGACGCCGAGGCGGCGAAGGGAGGAGGGAAGGAAGAGGCAGGGGGGGAGCACCACGAGGAGGGCGAGGGCGAGCGAGGCGGAGGGTCGGGCGGGAGAAAGGGGGGAGGTAGAATCAGGGAGCAGAGGGTGGGGAGCATTTGCACACTGCGCCGCTGGCACGCAGGCTCCGAAGACAATGGATGCTGCTCCTGAGCGCCAGGGCCAGAACATTGAGTCGTCTCTCCAGTTCGCCAAGGGGAAGGAAGAGGAGGAGGAGGAGGAGGAGGAGAAGGGAGAGGGGAATGGTTTAGAGAGGGTCCAGGAGAGTCAATGGGTCAAGGAGAGAGGGAGAAGAAAGCTTCGAGTTGGTGGGAGAGCGAGAGGGAAAGGGAGGATAGAGTGCGTGGTTACCGCCATTCCGATCTGGAGGAGGACGGAAGAGGAGGAGGATGAGGAGGAGGAGGAGGAGGAAGAGAAGGATGAAGAGGAAGAGGAGAAAGAAGCATCGGCCACCTTCTCCGGTCCAGAAGAAGGCGTTGTCCACACTCAGGTTGCCTCCCGCGCCCCTGCGTCCTCCCGCTGCGATCGGCTTCGGCGGCGTAAGCTGCGACAGCGTTTGCATCCACCGCACGTGTGGGCAGCATCGCTCGCACACTGCCTGCAACGTGATCCCGGCTCTCCTGGATCATATGGAAGACAAAGACAAGGGAAGGGAAGAAGAGCAAGCTGGCACCCCGTCGCGTTTCGTCCATATCATCCATGGATTCATCCTCTCCCGCCCTCACCCCAAAATGCAAGGCGACCGATCGACAAAAATAAACATTCCAGGATCAGCCTTTCATCGAGTCAAGAATGCCGTGTACACACACACACATATATATATATATGTACATATATATATATATATGTATATACACACCTATTTATATATGTTTACAAGGCCGGGGACCCCGGAAAAGCGGCACACGGTGCCCCCCCCCAAAACGAATTTCGGCCTCCCCGAGCTTTTGGGGCGCTCCTGCAGAGTGCTCCGTGTCTGTCCTGCGAATGCGACGCGAAAAAAAAAAAACACGACGGCCAAAGAGGGCCCCGAGACACCCAAAGATCGGCCCAAGACGCCCAATCTGGGCCCAAGACTGCCCAAGACGCGTCCAAGACGCCCCCAGAGACCCCCAAGAGGCCTCCCAAGAGAGCCCCGGGAGGCTACAATTGTTGATTTTCCTGCGTGTTTTGTGATGTGTTTGGCCTTCTCGGTTTTCCCGCTTCCCGACGCTCCACAATGGCCCAAGAGGCTCCCTAGATCGCCCCAATACTGCCCACGAGGCCCCCAAGAAGGTCCCGACACGGTCCATGAGGGCTCCGAGACCGCCCAAGAGGCGCCCAAGACGGCCCAAGAGAGCACCAAGACGGCCCCAAGAGAGACCCCAAGAGGGCGCCCAAAAATCCCACCAGCCCTTTGGGCGTGAGTGGTTTAGGGGGCTCTCTCTGTTCTCAACCCCCCTTCTTCCCCTTCGGGGAGGGGTTTACCCCTCCCCCTACCCCCTCCCCCTGGGCCTGGAGAGGGCGTTCCGCAGGTCGTCAGGGGGGTTATTTTCGACTCCTGGGAGGGCTAAAAAACGACACCCCTCACGAGGATTCTGGCCCCGACGGGGGGAGGCAGAAAAAAACCTCTCCTCTTCTTTGAAGCCAAAATGCTTAATTTTACTACGGTGTTGGCCCCATTTTGGCCTTCTGATGGGGCAGCGCTCATTAAAGCTCCTCTCTTCTTTCAAGCCAAAATCATTAATTTTACGAAGGTTTTGGCATCATTCTGCCCTTTCTGAGGGGGCAGCGCTACTTAAAGCTCCCCTCTTCTTTGATCGATTTCCTCCAAGATGGCCCCAAGAAGCGCCCAGGAAGCACCAAGAGGCCCCAAGATGGCCCCAAGAGGCCCCCAGGAGGCCCTCAAGGGGCCTCCAAGAGGCCCCCAAGATGCCCCAAAAGGCCCCCAAGAGGCCCCAAGAAGCTCCCCCGAGGCACCCAAGACGCTCCTGGAAGCCCCTGGGGCCGCCAAGAGGCCCCCAAGACGCCCCAAACGGCCTCCAAGAGGCTCCCAAAAGGCCCGAAGAGGCTCCCCCAAGGCACCCAAGACGCTCCTAGAAGCCCCTGGGGCCGCCAAGAGGCCCCCAAGACGCCCCAAAAGGGGACGATGTGCCCGAACGCCTCACGCCACGAGGAGCCCGAACGACTCACACCAGGACGAGGGGCCCGAACGACTCACACCACGAAGAGCCCGAACGACTCACACCAGAAGGAGGGGCCCGAACGACTCACACCACGACGAGGCGCCCGAACGACTCACACCACGAGGAGCCCGAACGACTCACACCACGACGAGGGCCCCGAACGACTCACACCACGAGGAGCCCGAACGAGTCACACCAGGAGGGGGGGCCCGAACGACTCACACCAGGACGAGGGGCCCGAACAACTCACACCACGAGAAGCCCGAACGACTCACACCAGGACGAAGAGCCCGAACGACTCACACCACGAAGAGCCCGAACGACTCACACCAGGAAGATGGGCCCGAACGACTCACACCAGGACGAGAAACCCCAAACGACTCAAACCACGAGGAGCGATGTCTCTCCCTCCTCCTCCGCCTCGCCCTTCTCCCGCTGCCCCCACAAGGAGGATGTACAAGGCGGCGGGAGGAAAGAGGAACAGGGGAGATATGCGGGGCCACGCGGACACACGCCTGAGAAACACGACTGTCGGCATGTTTCGCAAGAGTTGTTGTTGTGAGATGGGCTGGCGGGGATACGCGAAGCGTAAAGAATTCAGAAACTAAATTTTCCGCCGCGAGAACCCCAAGAGGTCCGGAGAGAGCCCCATGAAGCCCCAAGAGGCCCCCAAGAGGCCCCAAGGAGCCCCCAAGAGGCCCCCAAGAGGCCCCCCAAAAATCCCGATAACCCCAAAACACCCCCAGGAGGCTTCAAGTCGGAAGCGCTTTGGGGGCGCCGGACACGTCGCGAACGGCCCCCGGAGGCCCGAGCCATGGCCCGAAACCCACGCGGGGGCATCAAGGGAGGAGAAGGAGGGGGGAGGGAGGAGGAGGCGGAGGGGGAAAAGGGGGGCGAGGACGAGGAGGGGGGGGACATGGAGGAGGGAACGAAGACGAGAGGAGGGGGATACAGGGGATTCAGCACCTGGACGCGGCGCCCTTGCCTACCTTACCGGAGAGGGCTGGCCGAATCCGAGGAGCCCCTGGGGGATTTCAAAACCTGCACCGCCTCTTGCACTACCTTCGGGCCCCCTTGGCGGCTTGGGAAAAACCGTTCCTAAATCGGGGGGGGGGTCTCTCACCCTTTGCCGCTTGACTCGCAGAGAGGCCGAGCGGCACCGCGCCGCGCCGCCAGGGATGGGGAAAATGAGCAAAAAAAGAAGCGGAGAGGGGGGAGAGGAAGAGGAGGAGGAACTGGAGGAGGAGGAGGAGGGGGAGGAGGAGGAGGAAAGGAAAGGAAAAGGGGAAGAAGGAAGAGGAGATAACGGAAAGTAGTCTAATCCGCCTCGCCAGAGATATGCTCGCAACTCCGACCTCAGAAGCGCCTTGCTTCGCATCGGTCCCGCCGTTTTCGCTTGAGACATCATCGCAGCTCTGGGGCCCGAGACACTCTCAGTTGAGGTGTTCCAGCCACTGTCGCCTGAGACGCTCTCGCAAGTCTCACTTCGGAGGTGCCTTGCACCATGGTGGTTCGGCCACTTTCGCGTGCGACTTCTCGCAACTCTAAGTTCAAGGACACCCTGAGCAGAGGTGTTCAGACCACCCCTCGCTTGAAATTTCCTCGCACGGCTGGTTTCGGATATGCCCTCCCCTGAGCGGAGGTGTTCAGGCCATTCTCACCCGGGACGCCCTCGCAACACAGGCCTCGGCGACGCACTGTCCCATGGTAGTCTGACCACGTTTGCCTGAGACCCTCGCGCCTTTTAGTGGCGCGATGATACGAACAACTGGTCAGGCCACTACCGCCTGATATACGCATGTGTATGCTCACACATAGTTAGAGTGACCATTTGCATGTACATGTACATATCCATACAAACGTATACATAAATGTACATATGGAGTATGCATTCATAGACGCATGTGTGGGGGCATGTACGCACGCTCGCACTCCGCTAGCGTGCGAATTCCGAAGGACCAAGGTGCATGGCGCGCAGCGCCAATGCAGTCTTGTATATATGTGATACGCGTACGTATATATAGAATGTGCGTATATGTATACATATATATATAATACAAAGGATGTATTGAACAAACATGTCGATATATATATATATATATATATATATATATATATATACATATATAGGCGAATCTCATAATTGGGGGGGCCAAGCGGTCACTCACTGTCCCTAGGTGCGTGACTGAAATCGGGTTCCGCGGTGCTGACTGTTGAAACTTGGTGTTGTTATCGTCGTCCCACTCGTGGCCCGGCCCGCGACACACCAGCGACCCGAACAGCCCCCCCGCGACTCACCCAGGACCCACCCGCGACCCACTTGCGACCCACCCGCGACCCTCCCGCGACCGACTCGCGACCCACACGCGACCCACCCCGCGACCCATCCGCGACCCGACCGCGACCCACCCTCGACCCACCCGCGACCGACCCGCGACCCGCATGCGACCGACCCGCGACCCACTCCGCGACCCACCCGCGACCCGACCGCGACCCACCCCCCGCCCGCTCCCTCACTCATTATAAGCAACTGCGGGGTGATACATTTCTAGACACATATATATATATATGTATATATATATATACATACATACATACATAAATATATATATATATGTGTGTGTGCATATTCACACCTAGAAAGAAAAGGCAAGTGAGAGAGAGAACACAAAATTAGCCTGGCGAAAGACCCGATCATACGCAGTTGTGAATACCGCAGTTGTGGATATATTCGTCGGTGGCGCTCTCTCTATGGGGCCACGAACCGTATGAGGGGTGTGCCGACGTGTGCGATAGGGTACACAACACGAACGAAAACGATAGGTCTGAGTATGAAAGCTTGAGCGCGGGCGAATCTAAGCGCGAGTGGGTCCGGTTCCTGAATGAATATGCGTGAGATGGATTCTATTTGCATCACTGCGAGCATGGATCGCCCAATGTAAACACATACGACTGTGAATGGTTTGGGTCTGCCTGACTCTGAGAACTCGCATGCGGCCGGCAGCACTGGGGCCTTCGGTGGAGCCCCCATATGGGGCCACGAAACATGTGAGGGGTGTGCCGAGTTGGGTGTGCGAGACGCATGCAGCCAGCAGCACTGGGGCCTTCGGTGGGGCTCCCTTATGGGGCCACGAAACGTGTGGGGGTGTGCCGGCAGCACTGGGGCCTTCGGTGGAGCTCCCTATGGGGCCACGAAACGTGTGAGGGGTGATGGTGTTGATGACGGCGATGATGATGACGATGATGGTGATGACGACAGGTGAGAGAAGGAAGAAGGGGGCGAAGAAGGAGGGAAAACGCGGAAACCGCCCCTTCAAAACGAGGACCCAACAACACAGGTTGGTTGGGAAAAAACGTAGAACGAGGTTTATTGGAAAGCTGGGCATTGCACTTCTCAATCAAAAACCAGACTCGCTCTCATTCACCATCGCGCCACTCGACATCCACAAGCCCTCGACGATCGCCCTTTTCGTCTACGACCTTGCACGCTTTGGTGTGCCAGTTCCAAGGCAAATCACGACCAGGAAAGGCAAGCGGGCTAGGCGGGCGGAGCCTCGTCAGCAACCCGGGCGGGCGGCCCCTAGCAGGCAGGTCAGGCGGGCGAGCGGTTGGGCGGGCGAACCCCGACGGGCGGGCCGAACGTGCGGGCCCTCGCGGGCGAGTCGGACTGGCGACAGCTCACGGGCGGGTCGGGCGGGCGGGGCGGAGGCGAAAGCGCAGTTCTTGAGCGGCGAAAACGCTATCCATCTGCCAAAAAAAAATGTCCGGACTTCCCCTGCGGAAACGGAACGTCCCAAGAACGCACACGAGCCTCCCAGGCGAGAGCGCGACCCGGGAATACATCGGACGGTCCACGCGAGAGCACGATTCCTGAAAGACGATGGCGCGATTCGGTGGCACACTGTCTGAAAATCTCAGGCGAGAGCGCGCCTCCTCAGTAGGCTGCAACACGATTCCCGATTGAATTGTGAAAAACCTGGGGCTGGAGCAGGTTTTGTCAAGGAGCCCGACGGCCCAGAAGCACCGCTTGGCCAGGAGCGCGTTCTCTGACAAAGAAGCGCGGGCGTCGATGGGACGCAATTCGCTCCAAGAGCAGCGCGCTCTGGACAGGGAGGCACCAACGGTCACCAGCCTTCTGGAGTGAGAGCTCCGCAACAGCAGCGACGACTATCGTTATTGAACCGTTCGCTCTCGAAGGCTTGCGCGTCACCAGTCCTGTATACCCCGAGCCCCCGATTCCAGCCCTGTTCGCCTTCGGCCGCACCCCCTCCTGGGGGCGGGCAGGTCCCAGCGGGAGGTCGGGTCGAGCCGGGCAGCCCCCAGATCGGGCGATCGGGGTCGAGGCGGGCCTCGACTCCCGCTGAAGCCCGAAGCACGCCCGCACGCGGGTTCCGTCGAGGGTGCTGCGGGTGTGGCGCCGGAGCGCAGGAGCGTCAGAAAAACGATGCCCCATCAGAAATCCTGCTCGATCGTGCTCCATCCGTTGTGGCAACATCTTGCCCTTGAAGCTGGAGATCTTGCCCTTGAGGCTGGAGGTCGACAGGCTTCCCCTGCTTTCCCTCCGCTGCGAGTACCCTTGCGTTCCCCGTACTGGGCCTCGTCAGCGCCCGTGGATGCACCGACGCCGCGGCCCCACCGCTGCCACGGTCCCCGCTGCCGAGGCTGGCCGCGCCAGCGCACTCAGGATGGAGGTCTTCCCCCTCTGAGTGCTCCCCCTCCTCCCCCCGCCTCCGCGGCCGCCTTGTCTGCCACTGCCTCCTCCCTTACATGCTGGGAATTCGTTTTCGGGTAGCCCCGTTTAGCTCGACCGCTGGTGCAGCAATTCGGCCTCGCCGCTGACCAACAAAAATTATCCCAGTGCGACCCTACCTAGGAGTTGGAGCATCTAGGAAGGCAACATCTACATCTACACCGACTGTTACATTAACATCTACACCTGCATCTACATCTACATCAACATCAACAGCGAGACTCACATCTACATCTACGTCTACACCTACATTCGCATTGGTGTTGCTGTTGCTTTGCAGTGCCTTGCCTTTGTTTTTGCTTTTGGTTTTGCTGTTGTTGTTGCTTTGTTGTTGTGTTTGCTGTTGATTGGTTTTGTTGTTGCTTTGCCTGCGGACAGACACACACACATACACGCTAGGCTATGTTATGACATGCTATGCTGCGCCATGCTATGCTATGCTATGCTATACTGCGCTATGCTATGCTATGCTATGCTGCGCTATGCGATGCTATGCTATGATATGCTGCGCTATGCTATACTATGAATTGGTATGATATGGCATGCTATGATATGATATGATGCGCTGATATGCTAAGCTACGCTATGATATGGTATGGTATGATATTATGCGCCATGATACGATATGATATGGTATGCTATGATATGATGTGATGGGCTATGCCATGCTGCGCTATGCTATGTTATGTTATGCTATGATGGGCTAGGCTATGCTAATGCTGCGGTGCGTTAAGCGAAGCTAAGCTGAGCTGAGCTAAGCTAGACTAAGCTAAGATGAGATAAGCAACGCTAAGCTAAAGGGACGTAACGGGGGAAACCGCGGGGCGGATACTGGGGGAACCGCCCGGGGCGCTTTCCACTGCCCGGCCCCTTCAAGCCCAGAGAGTAAAAACCCTTCTAGGCAGAGCCTAGGTAGGGAAAAAAATCCTCCCGTCCTCCCCCACCTGCCGCCCTCGTCCCCCATGGGCCGTGCACCAGCGCCACGTAGCGCGGGTCCTCCGAGGCCAGGGGCGGGGCGCGGGCAGAGGAAAAGAGGTGTCCATCACGTTTGCAGGGGAGGAGGAGGAGGAGGAGGAGGAGGAGGAGGAGGAGGAGGAGGAGGAGGAGGAGGAGTAGAAGGACGAGGAGGGAGGAAGCAGAAGGAGGAGGACGAAGGAGGGAGGAGGACGAGGGAGAAGGGAAGCAGAGAAAGGAGGGAGGAGGTGAGAGAAAGGAAGGAGGAGGCCCCCCCGACCCCCGTTACGATAAGGATAGGAGGAGGAAGCAGGAGGAGGAGGAGGACGAGGAGGAGGACAAGGAGGAGGAGGAGGAGGGGAGGAGGAGGAGGAAGGAGGGAGGGAGGGAGGAGCGGAGAGGGAGGGAGGGGAGCGGAGGGGCAGGGGAGAAGGGGAAGGGGGAAAGGGGAAGGGGAAGCGGAAGAGGAAGGGGGGAAGGGGAGGGGGAGGGAGGGGAGGGGGAGGGGGAGGGGGAGGGAAGAGGAAACGGGAGGGTTTGATGAGAGGGGAATGCAGGGCAGGATGAACAGGAGGAGGAGGAGGAGGAGGAGGAGAAGGAGGAGGAGGGGAGGAGGAAGAGGAGTGAGAGAGGAGTGAGGACTGGGAGGAGGAGGAGGGGAGGAGGAGCAGAAGGAGGAGGAAGACGAGGAGGAGGACAAGGAGGAGGGAGGAGGAGGAGGAGAGGAGGGAGGAGGAGGAGGGGGGGAGGGGGAGAAGAGGAGGAGGAGGGGGAGAGGGAGGAGGAGGTAGAGGCAGGAGCAGGAGGAGGAAGGAGGCGGGGGGCGGGGGGGGGAACCTTGCCACGAGGGGCGTCGGAGGAGGAGGTCGGAGGAGGAGGAGGTGAGATGGAGGAGGGGGGAAGAAGGAAAGGAGGAGGGGGAAGGGAGGAGGGGGAGGAGAAGAACGAGGAGGACGAGGAGGAAGAAGAAGAAGAGATGCATGGCTTTCGAATGCCGTCTTTGTTTCTGCGCCCGCACGTCTTCTGGGGTTGCGCTACCCGGCAAGGCCGCCTCTCCCATCCTGCGGGCGGCCTTTGTCGCGCGAGCGCTCTCTCCATGCAGGTCGCCTTCAGGGCTGCCAAGAGTAAGGAGGAGAAGAAGGAGGATCAGGAGGAGGAGGAGGAAGAGGAGGAGGAGGGGGAAGAGCCAAGAGGAGGAGGAGGAGGAGAGGAGGAAAAGAAGGAGAAGGAGCAGGAGGAGGAGGAGGAGGAGGAGGAGGAGGAGGAGGAGGGGGAAGAGGAGGAGGAGAAGGAGAAGGCGGAGGAGGAGGAGGAAGAGGAGGAGGAGGAGGAGGAGGAGAAGGAGAAGGAGCAGGAGGAGGAGGAGGAGAAGGAGGAGGAGGAGGAGGAAGAGGAGGAGGAGGCGGAGGAGGAGGAAGAGGAGGAGGTGGAGGAGGAGCAGGAGGAGGAGGGAGAATTGGGAGTTGCTGTACCCCGCGGGCGGATGCTACCCCAGCGGCCAGCGCGGCCGCCGCCGCAAGAGCATCCTGAAGAGGGGGAGCCGAGGAAGGCTCTCGATCCTCGGGCCGCCTCGGCAAGAGCGAAAAACAAAGCAAAACAAACACAGCACAAAAAAACGCTTGACGGCAGGCGGCGCGGGCCACCCAAGAGGACTCCAAGATGGCCTCTGAACGGCCCAATACGCCCCCAAGACCGCCCCAGGAAGGCCCCCAGACGGCCCAAGAGGCCTCCAGCACGCCAAAGATGGCCTGCAAGACGGCCCTGGAGCACCCCAAGAGGGCCCCGTGTCAGCCCAGAGAGGCCCCCAAGACAGCTTCCAACGGAGTAAGCCCACCAATACGGCCCAAGATGGCTCTAAGATGGCCCAAGACGGCCCAGGGGGTCCCCAAGAGGTCTCCAAGACTGCTCAAGAGGCCTCCAAGAGGGCCTCCAGAGAGGCTCGAAGAGACCAAAATCAGTGATTCTGCTGGCAGTTCCTTACACGATGGCGCCAGAACGGTCCAAGAGGTCCCCAAGACGGCCCCAAGGGGGCTCCCAGCCGACCCAAGAGGCCTCCAAGACGCCCCAGATGGCCTCTAAGACGGCCCTGGATCACCCCAAGAGGGTTTCAAGTCGGCCCAGAGAGGACCCCAAGATGGCTTCCGACGGCGTCAGACGGGCCCGGAATGCCCTGAGACAGCCAAAGAGGCCCCAGAGAAGCCCCCAAAGGCCCCCAAGAGTCCCAAGGAGGCCCCCAAGGGGGGGGGAAAATTGGTGGGGGCCCTTTTTTCCAAGAGGCTCCCAGGAAAGCTCCCAGGAGGCCCCAAGATGTGCCACAGAGGGCTCAAAGGGGGGGGGGGGGGGAAGATGCCTCCTCCTCCTCTCCTCCTCCCCCTCCCCCTCCTCCTCCTCCTCCTCCTCCTCCTCCTCCTCGTCCTCCTCCTCCTCCTCCTCCTCCTCCTCCTCCTACCCCTCCTCCTCCTCTTATTATTATTCGTATCATTAGCATTCGTAGTATGAGTAGTATCAGTATGAGGGTTCGTCTTACTCTGACTATTATTATTGGCAGTTTTCGTATTACCACGAGTATTATTAGGAGTAGGAATCATAGTGTTAGTATGGTCAATGTTCGTCTTATTGGTATGATTATTCTTCGTACTATTAGTAGTATTGTTATTCGTCTTGTTCGTATTATTATTCTTCGTACTGATATAACTCGTATTGTTGTGATGTTTCGTAGTATGATATCATTGTTAGTCGTATCCGTCGTAATATTAGGGATATTATTATCGGAGACAGTATTAGTAATAGCATTGTTCTTGATATTACTCGTGCTAGTGTTATTAATATGGTTCGTCTTATTCGTCTATTATTCATCATACTGTTAGTCTTAGTCTTCTTATTACCTAACAGCGAAGACTGATAGGTTCTTGTGGTCTCAAAAGAGAGCATCATGACTCCCCAGGGGGGTCTGGGCAAATGCCGGACGGGTGCCCCGGGAATCCGGAGACTCCGTTTTTAGCCAACAACTCCCGCACTTCGTGGTCTTCGAGTTCCCACAACTCCATTACTGGGCATGATTTTGAATTCCCGGAGCCAACTGTAGGCCACTTCGTGTTCTTCGAGTTCCCAGAACTCCATTCCTGGGCCACATTTTGAATGCCTGGAGCCAACTGTAGGCCACTTCGTGTTCTTCGAGTTCCCAGAACTCCATTCCTGGGCATGATTTTGAATGCCCGGAGCCAACTGTAGGCCACTTCGTGGTCTTCGAGTTCCCAGAACTCCATTTCCCAGAAACTCCATTCCTGGCATGAATTTGAATGCCCGAGAAAGCCAACGTAGGCCACTTCGTGTTCTTCGGGTTCCCCCCCCCCCAGAACCCATTCCTGAGACCACCATTTTGAATGCTAATGGCAGCTGAGGCTGAGGCTGATGCAGGCTGAGGCAGAGGCAGGCTGAGACTGAAGCCGAGGCTGAAGGCAGATTGAGGCTGAGGCTGAAGCAGGCTGAGGCTGAGGCAGAGTCAGGCTGAGGCTGAGGCTGAGGCAGGCTGATGCTGAGGCAGGCTGAGGCTGAGGCTGAGGCTGAGGCTGATGCAGGCCGAGGCTGAGGCAGCCTGACGCTGAGGCCGAGGCCGAAGGCAGATTGAGGCTGAGGCTGAAGCAGGCTGAGGCTGAGGCTGAGGCTGAGGCAGGCTGAGGCTGAGGCTGAGGCAGGCTGAGGCTGAGGCTGATGCAGGCTGAGGCTGAGGCTGAGGCAGGCTGAGGCTGGGCAGGCTGAGGCTGAGGCTGAGGCAGGCTGAGGCTGAGGCAGGCTGAGGCTGAGGCTGAGGCTGATGCAGGCTGAGGCTGATGCAGCCTGAGGCTGAGGCCGAGGCGGTAGGCAGACCGAGGCTGAGGCTGAAGCAGGCTGAGGCTGAGGCTGAGGCAGGCTGAGGCTGAGGCTGAGGCAGGCTGATGCTAAGGCAGGCTGAGGCAGAGGCTGAGGCTCATGCAGGCTGAGGCTGAGGCAGGCGGAGACTGAGGCCGAGGCTGAAGGCAGACTGATGCTGAGGCTGAAGCAGGCTGAGGCTGAGGCTGAGGCAGGCTAAGGCTGAGGCTGAGGCAGGCTGGGGAGGCTGAGCAGGCTGAGGCTGAGGCTGAGGCTAGGCAGGCTGAGGCAGGGCTGAGGCTGAGGCCGAGGCTGAAGGCAGACTCCAGTTGCGGCTGAAGCAGGATGGAGGCTGAGGCTTAGGGCTGAGGCAGACTGATGCTGAGGCTGAAGCAGGCTGAGGCTGAGGCTGAGGCAGGCTGAGGCTGAGGCTGAGGCAGGCTGAGGCTGAGGCTGAGGCCGACGGCAGACTGAGGCTGAGGCTGAAGCAGGCTGAGGCTGAGGCAGAGGCAGGCTGAGGCTGAGGCTGAGGCAGGCTGATGCTGAGGCAGGCTGAGGCTGAGGCTGAGGCTGATGCAGGCTGAGGCTGAGGCAGGCTGAGGCTGAGGCCGAGGCTGAAGGCAGACTGAGGCTGAGGCTGAAGCAGGGTGAGGCTGAGGCTGAGGCAGGCTGAGGCTGAGGCAGGCTGAGGCTGAGGCTGAGGCAGGCTGAGGCTGGGGCTGTGACTGCGACTGCCGTTGCCACTGCGACTGTCATCGCGAATGCGACTACGACTTCGAGAACAGCAGAATTCTACAACTGGATTATCATCTGAATCTTAAGGGGAATGCTTCCAGATATGCTCCTACACATCGCTGTTAGGTTGCTTTGCCGGGATACGAATAGTCTTGTTATTATTAGTACTATTATTAGCATTCGCATTCGTATGATTAGTTAGTATTCGCATTCGCATTCGTATGATCATATGTCTTCTTCGTTCTCATCCTCCTACTCCTACTCCTCTTCCTCTTCCTCCTCCTCCTCCTCCTCCTCTCCTACTCCTCCTCCTCCTCCTCCTACTCCTCATCCTCCTCCTCTTCCCTCCTCCTCCTCACTCAATCCTCCTGCCTCCTCCTCCTCCTCCTCCTCCTCCTCTCCTCCTCCTCCTCCTCCTCCTCCTCCTCCTCCTACTCCTCCTCCTTCCTCCTCCTCTCACTCCTCCTCCTCCCCTCCCTTCCTCCCCACCCTCCTCTTCCTCCTACTCCTCCTCTCCTCCTCCTCCTCCTCCTCCTCCTCCTCCTCCTTCTGATCTTCCCCGCCATCCTCGCCCAAGTGTTCCCCGAGGGGGTTCCACAACGGTTGGGGGAACACATGGTCCGATAGCTTGGCAGCGCTCTTGCCACAACGCTCGGCCACATGGGCGATTTCAAAAGGCAGGGGGCGGCGGTGATTCGCCGTAGGCGTCTTCGATAAAACAGGACGCGGAGTGGGGGCGAATACTCCCAGAACACATCCCGGGGGAGAGAGGAAAGCGGTGCTCGTATGGTGTAACTGTAGAAGTGGATGGAGAGCAGGAGACAGGAAAGGGAGCCGAAAAGTGGGGTATGGCTCTAGGTCGGGCATATCCCCCTACAGACAGAATTTGGACGGACAAAAAAATGCTCAAATGGTAATCGAAAAATCGATCCCATACTTTTTTACTATTTCTGAATGTTCCTCCTGTAGAGGGACATGCCCGAATTGAGTCTGACTCAGGGGGTGCAGCAACGGCCTGGGTCGCCGGCAGATCGGCCACGGACCCTCGATTGCAAAGCTCGCATGCTCTTGGCTCTTCCTCCTCCTCCTCCTCCTCCTCCTCCTCCTCCTCCTCCTCCTCCTCCTCCTCCTCCGGCCGCAAAACTCGCACGCTCCTGGGCGCGGGGAGGCACCCAGGCCCCGACTAGCGACGAATGAGCGACTGGGAGGCCTTCAGTCCCCCCCCACCCCCTGGACGAGTCGCCCCTGCCGTCCTTCACCGAAGGGGAGTGGGGAGGCCAGGGCTCGACCGAAAAGCGGTGCCCTTCGCCTTCGTGAGCGCACGAAAAGCGACCCCCGCCCCCCACATGAGGAGCCTGAGACCAGGTCGGCGGCAGTGGCCTCGCTCACAGGGCGCCTGCACTTGCGCACGTTCGCCGCAGTTGCAGAACGCTGACGTATAGAATCAATAGTTGCGGGGGCTGGGGTCGGTTCCCCGCTGTTCACTCCGTGCTGTTTTCGACCTCCCTCGCCTCTTGTCTCCAAGCCGCCTCTGCTGCCAAAACGAAGCCGAAACGAAAACGGCCCACCCACGAAATCGCCAAAGCACCGCTTAGGTCGACCCCCGGGGGGGGCAATGGGGAGGAAGAGGGAGAGGGAGCCCCCGACAGCACGGGACTGCCATGCTCCCTGGCGTCGCTTCTTGTCCTCTCCTCCCGTCTGCCCCGCTCCTCCACCTCTTGCCTCGCCAACCCATTCCCAGATGTTCGACGTCTCGACGCCTTGGGCGCGAATTACTGGGGGGCGATAAATGGGGGAGGAAGAAGGGTGCCCATTGTTGGCACCGAAGGGCCCCTCGTGGGCCCTCAAGGGCCTCTTCATAGGGGCCTCAAGGGCCCCTTTCCTGCAGCCTCTGCTGCCCTCCCACGCACCGCCCCCCCCCCTACGCGCCCCCCCTAGGTGTCTTCGCAACAGAAGCCCCCAGATGCCCAGACCCTGTCCCGAGGACCCTGGCGGGGCCATCTGTGGACGGCAACGGGGACAGGCGAGTGCCTCCGGTGGCTGAAAACGGCCAGAAACTGGGCGTCTTAGCTACTTCTTGCGGGCGACGAGAGGGGGGCTGGGTGCTTCAGCAGTTTTTGGCCCTGGTCAGTCAGTGTTGTCTGGGGCTCAACACACTGAGTGAGCGGCGCCCAGCGTGTGCACCGCTCTGGCGTTCGACTGTGCTGCTGGGAGCCAGGCCAGGGCGCGTGCTGGCAGCTCTTCGTGGCCTCAGGCCTCACTGTCAAAACGCATGTTTTTCAGCAGCAGGGGTGCAGGGTACAATAGGGGAACAAAAAGTGACATAAACATAAAAACTCGAAGGTCCGCGCGGATTTCTCGGATCGGCGCTGGACCCCATCCCTGGCGCGCGGAGCGCGCCAGGGGCGGCGCCGGAGGCGCCGCCGGGGGGCCCCAGCGCCGATCCGAGAAATCCGCGCGGACCTCCGAGTTTTATGTTTATGTCACTTTTTGTTCCCCTATACAAGGCAAAGTGCAGCGACGGAAAAAATGGGTCTTACGCGAGACGACCGACGTAGCGACCTTACGCGGCAGCTTCCGCGGGCCGCCAGCGCGGCACGCCATGCCCTGGAGACGAGGGCGCCTGCACGCGGCCTTGCGCGGGCAGCTTGAGCGCGGAAGTCGGCGCAGACGAGCGCGTGTTTCGGCGGCGCCGCCCATGTGATTCCTCACACGAGAGGCTCGAGGAGGATTGAGGATCGAGGTTTTCTTACGCAGGAAGCATTTATACACCACCACCGTGCCAGGCCAGGGCCATCCTGGGCCCTAGGATGGTGTATGCGCCCTCCTGGCCGAGCCAGGAGGGTCTATACACCATCCTACGGCCCAGGATGGCCTTGGCCTGGCACGGTGGTGGTGTATAGATGCCTTCGTCGGAAATTTCTGGTATCGAGGAGGATGGAGGTTGGGGATCTGGGCCGCCCCCAGCCGCCAGCGTCAAAACTAGCCGCCACATCGTCAAAACAATCGTTCGCATGCCTGGAGGCCAGGACTCAAAGCAGCACTTGATTCGTCATGCGGGTGTTGGCACTCTGGCGAAGCAGCGAGGAGGGTGTGGGATGAGGGTGCTCTTGCACAGCCAGGATATATCCATATCGACTACTTGTCGAGCCCTGCCCCGGATTGCTGGGGAGCGGAAGATGCAGATATCCATGCCCACGTCTCCCCAGGATCACAGGGCACGACCTCGAAGCAACGGATACTGACACATTCTGGTGGTGCAGCTCTCCTTGTGTTTCCAATAATTGATCTCCGAGTGATACGCCTGGAGATTCGTCATGGTCAACCGCAGCTTCGCCTGGAAGGCCTGGCGAGGGGACCCAAACGACGCCGCCACCGTCGCCACGCCACGTCGTCACGATCACACCCGGAAGCCCTCGAGGGGCACTGGCTGGAATGGGACTGCCTGTGGAGGCCACTGAGAGACGTCTCGGACGCGACAGATACACAGTGGAGGCCAGTCCACAAGAAACCTTCCACAAGAAACCCAGCCCTGAGACCCCAGGGCGACCATCGATTTTGGGTGCAGGAACGCCACGCCCTCCATGGCAGAACCATCGAAACCCGAGAAACCCAGGGCACCCTGGAGGCAAGCGAGGCGCTTCTTGGCATGGGCCCCCACTGCATGTCGCGCTCGTGCCCTCGCTGCTCCGCGGCCAGACGCGAGAGCAGCCACGGCATCGAGCGAGGCACCGCTGGGCGAGCCACCGTGCCGAGGGCCCGAGCCGGGCGGCCCGCGTCAGAAGGATACACGCGGAGGAGGCTACGAGGGCCCCGGGCGCCCATTCCGAAGCTTCTCGAGTGGGCCGCGGCCAACGAGTGGCCAAGGATGGATCGATGAGGCAAGGATGCAAGGGTTACGGGGCGTGAAAACGACCACAGCCACTGCTTTTCTTTTGATGCCGCCTTCCAGCCCGCAGCAACAGAACAGTGGCTGTGGTCATTTTCGTTGAGCTTGGCACCAGGGAAATGACCACAGCCACTGCTTCTTTTTCGGCCGGCTGGAAGGCGGCGCAAACAAGAAGCAGTGGCTGAGGTCATTTTCCCGCCCCGCAAGGGCAGCCTTGGGCAGGTTGCCCCTCCTCGCTGTGCGGGCTGACTGCAGGAGGCGCGGTCCACGCAGGCAGAGAGCAGATGGAAGAGCCCCCCGGGAAACGATCGCACGCGCGCCCAGTGCCCTCCAAGCCTCTGCCGAGAAGCCTCCGGGCATCGCCGGATCTCGTGGGCGGGAACGTATCCGTGCCCACAGCCTCGCGGTCCGGCCTCCTCGGCCCCGACACCATGGACTCGAGCGCCCCGCGCGGAACGTCTCCATGGGATCGCGCCTCCCTGGCATCGCGTCTCGGAGTCCAGGCAGCGAGGGCAAGGATGTGTGCTCGTCGCTCGTGATGATCGGCCCCGCTCGAGCGTGACCAGCCTGTGAGACTACCTCCGCTCGACGGAGTGCAGCAGCAGGGTCCTCGCAGGAGAGCCGCCCAGGCATTCCGCCACCGCACCTGCAACGCGCTGGCGGCGCGCTGCGATGCTGGTCCACTCTGGTCAGGGCTCTGCACTGCCAGCCTGGGTCACCGCTGACCCCAGCGGAGGGCGGAGAGGGGGAACCTGTTCCGCGTCGCTGCCAAGCCCTGGGTCAGACGGAGGTCGGCTGACCCCCGCCAGTGCCGAACCCCCTTACGCGTGCCCCGGCTCGGGCAGCCCTCCTCTCCGCCCCACCCAGGTCCGCCCCACCCAGCGCAACCATCCTCTGGAAATCACCCTCCCCCGATGTTGCTCGCCGATTCCCCTCGCATGTCCCTGCCTGCTCGCACAGTGATCGCTCATCCCACACGGTTGCGCGCCCAAGAAAGCCCCGAGACTCACAATCGCGGAGGACACCATAGGTCCCCGAGAAGCCTCGCGAAAGGGAGGAGGGACAAGAGAGAGAGAGAGAGAAGAAACAAAACAAACACCCAAAAAACGCTTACGGCAATGTCGGTTAACGGCGATATTGGGAATCTGAATTTTGCGGCGCCGAACTCGCGCAGAACAAAGTGTAGGGAGTCACGAACCATTCCTACATTTCAGACGCGCGAGTGCACCGAGCAAAGACGGTACGGCGAACCGCGGGAGACCACGAACCGCGCCTTCCTGCCATCGGGCCGGCCACGAACCACCCCTACCCACGACGCCGAAGCCTGCATCGCCGCTGCCTACGTCGCCGTTGGCGCGTCTGCGGGAGAGAGAAAGGAAGATCTGAGGCCTGGAAATGGGCACCAACACCAACACAGGGGGTTGCCTCCACAGGGGGAAGATGATCCTAGATTTCGGTGTTGGTGGTAATTTTTCGGCCACCTTGGAAGCCAGAATATTACCACCATCACCGAGATCGGGATCTTCTTCCCTCGATGGAGGCACACCGCCGATATTGGTGTTGGTGTCAACCTCTAGGCCTGCGAGAAGAACGGGGGGGAAGCAGAATCCCAGCACGCTGCGCCTGCGAGTCAGAGGTGCGCGCGCGCGCGCGCCAGTGCGCGCGCGGGCGGACCCCGTGCGCGCGGCGGGCCCCCGCGCACACAGAGGCCCCCTGGGAGGCCTCGCAGGGAGGGAGGGAGGAGGGACGAGACAGAGAGAGAGGAGAGGAGAACGAGGGGGAGCGGAATCCCAGTGACACTGCGACGAGCGACGAGAGAAGAACGAGAGAGAGGAGAGAAGAGAGGGGGAGGGGGGCACTGTGACGACTGCTCCCAGCGCGCTGCGCTTGGGAGCAGTCGTCACGGTGCGAGCGCGCGCCGCGCGCGCGCGAAGGAGGGCCCGGCGAGTGCGAGGGGCCCCGCGCGGGCGGCGATCGACACTCCCGGGCGGCATCGCTCGACGGAGCGAGGGAGAGAGGAAGCGAAGCGACAATCAGAGTAGCCACTCCAGAAGGTGGTCTACAGAGTGACCACTCCAGTCATGTTAGGAGGCGCTTTTCTTCGAGAGCCGACGTCTTCCTGCACTACCGGAGACAATCGCTCTGGACGAGGCTGTCGAGGCAATGTGGGCCGCCATATGTGTATATATATATCTTGAATGCCATGGTTTCAGCAACCCGCCGTAAACACCGTGATTCATGCCCGGCGAAAGAAGAGAGAAACGACAACGTGGCTACGCACAAGGATGGGGAACTTCAGGCCCGCTCCAGCTCAGACAGGGCCCTGAACTGGGACAGGCATTAAACTCGAGTTCTCTCCCCTGCTGCGACTGCGGTGGGATTTACCGCAGGGTACTAGATACAAAACAACGCAGTGCATCCCAAAATCAACCTGGCGAACCCGAGGGATCCAAGGAATTCGGATAACGACGGGGAATCGGGTAAAAAACCCAAGGTTTCCTGGGCAGGGGTGGCCGCAAGTGCCACCAGGTCTCTTGCACAACTAGAAGACGAGAGATGGCAACAAGAAATGAGAACGAAAGATGGAGGAGGGCGAGACGAGGGCACAGATGGGAGAAGGGACGAGAAAAGAGTGAGGCAGGCGAAAGGCGGAGAAGAACTAAGGGAAGGGAAGAAGGGAGGCAGGATGGGGGAAGGAAGAGGAAGGAGAGAGGAGAGGAAGGAAGAGAGAGGAGGGAGGATCGAGGAGGAAGGGATAAGGAGGATGGAGGAAGGAGGATCGGCGAGGGTGGGAGCAAGGAGGAGACATTGGGGAGGAGCTAGGAGACCCCCTTGGGGCCTCTGGCGGAGCCATCTTCAACCGAGACCGAAACACTGAAACGCAAAAGTTCCGAAGCGTAGAAACATCGAATGCGTAGTAGTTTCGTATGTCGTGATCTGGTGCTGGCCAGCTGGCAGTCATCTCTGGACTCTCAGATAGCCCAGTCGGACTTCCTTTGACGCCGCCAGGTCCCTATGGAGCTCTCGTGGGACCATGCGGGAGCCATCTTGGGACATTCAGGGGTCCTGGAGCCGTGGCGAGCTCCCCCTGACGCCCCTGGCGCTCTGTTGGCACACTCGGAGCACATCTCGAAACACGTTGGGGTCACTTTACGAGGTCGTCCGCCTCTCCGAGGCCCTCTTGGGACATCTTCGACCAAACAGCTGCGAAGCCCACAGACGCTGGAAAACTGAATTGGATCCTGCGGTTTGTGACCAATTCCTTGCCTGCGGGGAGATGTTTTCGCTCACCTCTGGAGCCTGGCAGTTTCTTTGAGAGGTCTGGAGAGCCAATTGTGCATGGCACGTCCCGAGGCACGCTCAGACGGCTCCCGGCCCGCCCCCAGAGCCCATAGACCCTCCCTCGGGAGGCATGGGCACGGCATATCTTGCGACGCTCTGGGGACCACGTTAGATGCTCACCCGCTTCTCCCGGGCCCTCTTAGAGTCATCTTCAACCAAGAAACTGCTGATCCTAGACGAGCAAGGCAACGCAGAAAGTCCTTCGGTGTTTGACTCATGTGTGGACCAATCCGAACCGGTTGACCTCGGACGGGCTAGGTCGCGATCTGGTCCGAAATAGATCGTGAATCATCTCGTGTGGCGCAAGCAACTGGATATAACTGAAGACCTCGGCTGGGTAGCTCAGGATCGGGCGCCAGCCGAGACCAATTGTACCTCGCCTGACAACTCGAGGAAAGAACCGTCCTCCTGGAAGGCGTCCTCGAGACGCTCGCCCTAGGCAAAAAGAACGGTTGTGGCCCCAGGCTCGGAGCCCTCGAGCCGGCACCAAGGACCACTCGCTGCACACGAGAGCCTGCTTTTGAGCACCCGTGGACATCGAGGGTCAAGGGAAGGGAGCGACGATCAAAAACCGGTCTCACGCGGGATGGCACAGAGACCTTACGACGCAGCTTACGCGGGCCGCTGGCGCGGCACGCCACATTGAGCGGGCAACTTACGCGCCAATGTCAGCGAAGACGACCCCGTTCTTGTTGAGTCGCTCGGGGAGGGGAGAAAGAGGAGGAGGAGGAGGAGCAGGAGGAGGAGGAGGAATAGGAGGAGGAGGAGGAGGAGGAGGGGAGGAGGAGGAGGGGGAGGAGAAGGAGAAGGAGGAGGAGGAGGAGGAGGAGGAGGAGGGAGGAGGAGGAGGACGTGGAGGAGGCGGGGGGGGAGGGGGGAGGAGGAGGAGGAGGAGGAGGAGGAGGAGGAGGGAGAAGAGGAGGAAAGAAGAGGAGAGGAGCGGAGGAGGAGGAGGAGGGGGAGGAGGAGGAGGAGAGGGAGGAGGAGGAGGAGGAGGAGAGGAGGAGGAGGAGAGGGAGAGAGGGGGGAGGAGGAGGAGGAGGAGGAGGAGGAGGAGGAGGAGGAGGAGGAGGAGGAGGAGGAGGAGGAGGAGGAGGAGGAGGAGGAGGAGAGGGAGGAGGAGGAGGACGAGGAGGAGGAGAACGAGGACGAGGAGGGGAGGAGGGGAGGAGGGCGAGGGCGGAGAGGAGGAGGAGGAGGAGGCAGGGGGTCGTCTGCGCGGCCGCGGGCCCCCGAGGCGGCGAGGGCCCGCTGGCCCGCGGAGGCCTCGGTGCCCACGTAGGGCGGGAAGATCGCCTTGGCGGTGCCGGCAAAGAAGCTGATGCCGGCCTCGAGTCTCCGCAGCACGATCTGCAGGTCCTCAAGCCCATGCCGCGCCATGACAAAATCAGGACGGGAGGCTTTTGCCCATTTTCAGCTCTGGGGGGCCCTCGCGGGGCCTCGGGACCGTCAACAGAACGACTCGGGACGAAAAACCGGTCCCGGGGTAGGGGCCGGGACTTCCAGGGACGCCGTCCTGAAACCATCAGGACGTCGCAGGCCTGGGGCGGGGGCGAGGAGCGCTCTCGGGCGTCCTCCGGCCCCAAGGGCCGGAGGGCCCCCCGGGGACGCGAGGCGTGAGGCAGTGGAGCGGCTCCGACGGGCGGCCCCTTCTCGGGTGCTGCTGGCCAGAGGTGCCCCTGGCCCGAGTTGCCCCCAGCTTTCCGCTCCATCTTTGAAGGGGCCCTGGGACACACAAATAAATACACATAAATCCGCCGATCTGGCGTGTGAGTTTCTGAGAGCGTGGGCTTGAGCTCGCTCAAGCCTCGCTCTGCGGGGGGGGGGGGGGGGACCTCATTTCATTTCCGACCTAATTCAGTGCTTCGCCCAGGGGGGGGGGCCTATTTTCGACCTAATCCGACCTAATTCCCAGGCTTCGCCCCCCCCCCTCCCAGAGCGGAACCCCCATCCCCTGCAGAACGCCCCCTCCGCCTTCCTCGCTCTGCGGGGGGGGGGGGGGGGGCCTCATTTCCGACCTAATCCGACCTAATTCAGTCCCCCCCCCTCCCTCCCAGAGCGGAACCCCCATCCCTTGCAGAAACGCCCCCCCCCCCCACCCCCCCCTGCAGAGCGGATTCGCCCCTGCAGCCCCCCCACCCCTCGCAGGAGCAACCCCCTCCCCCTGCACAACACCCCCCTGCAGAGCAAAACCCCCCCCCTTGCAGAGCGGACCTCCTCCCTGCAGCCCCCCCCCCCCTGCAGAGCGGATCCCCCCCTCCTCCCCTGCTCCCCCCCCCTCTGCAGAGCAGACCCGCCCTCCTGCAGCCCCCCTCCTCCCAGAGCGGACCCCCCCCCCCTGCAGAGCGGACCGCCCCCCCTCCCTGCAGCCCAGCCCCCCCCCGCTGCAGAGCGGACCCCGCCCCGTGCAGCCCCCCCCCCCCCTGCAGAGCGGACGTTCCCCCCTCCCCTGCCCCCCCCCCCCCACTGCCAGAGCAGACTTCCTCTCCTGCAGCCCCCCCTTCCTTCAGAGCGGACCACCCTCTCCCTGCAGTCCCTCCCTCTGCCGAGCGGACTCCCCCTGCAGAGCAGACCCCCTCCCCTGCCCTCTCCCATGCAGTCCCTCCCATTGCCGAGCGGATCCCCCCTGCAGAGCAGACCCTCCCCATGCAACCCAGCCCCCCCCCGTTCATCGTCTTCGTCATCATCATCTTCATCATCATCCTGATCATCATCTTGCGGAGCGCCCCGGATCGGCGGCACTGGCCGGAGGCCACTACAATAGAAAGATTCCCCATATTGTCCCATATTTGGGGGGTTTTTGATTTCCCCCCACTTCCCATATTCTCCCATATTTTCTGGCGACGATTGTGTCTGTGTGTTTCTCTCTTTCCTGAATCTTGGAACCCCGACCTTCCTGCCGGTCCTCCGGGCCCCGCCCCTCCCGGCGAAGGCGCTCTCCGCGGCGCGCACCAGCGAAGGAGCCCAGGGACACACGAATGGACAGGCACAAATCCCAGGATCCACCATAGTTCCCCATTTTGGGGGGGGTCTCTGGGACGCACAGGGACACGCTGATACTGCATGTCCTCCTTGGAGACGCGCGTCCGACCCGAACATCTAGTATACCCATCCTGTAGTAGATCGTTTCCCGAGCGGCGTGGCCAGAAACCGCCCGCCACGACGCATGTACTAGAAGATTTCTCTGTGCGCGAGTCGCCCCTGAGGGGGCGACGCGCACATAGCATGAGTATGCCGGGGTGACGCCGATTCTCGTTTTCCCCCCCACTCCCCACACACGGCATCTTTTAGTACATAGGCTTTGCAAAACATCGGATTTCTAATACATGACGAACTGATGAAAAAATGTGCACGAAGTCATCGTTGTTTCTAATACTAAATCCCTGCAGTTTTAACACATGATCCGCACGCGGAGCATGCATTAAAAACGGCACTGCGCTTTCCCCAGATCCTCCTGGGAGTCGACGCTTCACTCTGTCTGCCTGCGTGTGTGTCTCTGTCCCCTCCCGAAGCAGCCGGCCCTGCGACCGGCCCTGCGACCATCCCCTGCGCGGGGCACGGGCGGATGGCACCGCCGCGCCTCGCAGGGGCGCGCTCCGAAAGAGTCTGCACGCGGCTGAGTTCCCCATCGAGACTCCAGGAAGGAAGGAAGTACCCTACGCCCTACGGCGCGTCGGCGCGGCATGCGCTCAGGCGTGCACGAAAGTCTTGTCGATCCCGTACAGCGTGTGGGTACAGTTGCTTAGCCCACTCCAATCGGGGGAACCAGCTCACGCAACGGTGGCGCCGCAGTGCCTCAGATGGGCTCGTGCACGAAGACCCCACACGCGGAAGCTCCCCCCAGGGGGCTGCACGGGGGGACATGGCTCACACGCAGCGGACTTTCCGCAGCGCTCCCCAGCGCCAGAGGCGCAGGTGCATCCAGGGAGGCGCTCGGCGGCGGCGCCGACAACGGCTGCGAGCGTCAGTCTTCGCACCCACCCACCCACCCAACCCCTTTCCCTGTTTGGCGGCGCGCCCCCAGGGGGTAGGGGGAGGGGGGAGGGCCTCTTAGAAGGAGGCTGCTTTTTAGAAGGCGCCGACCCCACGTCCATCGACAAGGCCGCCGCCTTCTGCGACGCAGGGGTGCTTCTGAGAAGCCTTCCCCCTCCTCCTCCTCCTCCTCCTCCTCCTCCTCCTCCTCCTCCTCTCCTCCTCCTCCTCCTCCTCCTCCTCCTCCTCCTCCTCCTCCTCCTCCTCCTCCTCCTCCTCCTCCTCCTCCTCCTCCTCCTCCTCCTCCTCCTCCTCCTCCTCCTCCTCCTCCTCCTCCTCCTCCTCCTCCTCCTCCGCCCCCCCCTGCGCGTGGCCGAATGGTGCGCGCCAATTTCTGGGAGCCGGCGCTGAACCCCGCCCACCGGCGCACGTCACACACCCGGGATCGGGTGCGGCGCCGATCCCCCAAAACAAAAACCACGCGGGCCTCCGAAAATTGTGCCCACAGCTGGATCTAAGATAGAAGAACATCCTTCAAAAACATGAAACCCTCCGCCGGTCCAAACTAACGAACACTCGAGGGTGCCCTCCCCCCAGATGCGCAAGAGCATCCAGCACGCACGAGGACAATGAGGGTACCCTCCCCGAGCGGGCCTCATTCTTGTACCTCGGTCCGACCGCATGCGCTTGCTGCATGGGGGGGTCTGATTCTCCGCATGTTTAAAAGGTTACTGTTTTTGGTTTCCCACCCGCGTCTCAACCGCGTCATTCCGCACCCCTCCTCCTCCATCTCCCTCGGCCTTCCTCACCTCTCCTCCATACACACACGGTCATACAGATACGCGCGTATAGCCGCACACCATGTGACACGCATACACACAGGGGGGGCGCAGGGGGTGGTCTCTGAGCGCGGCCGCTATGCTCGCTGGTCGCGTCCAGGGCATGGCAAGCATAGCATTTTCGCGACACCATAAGGGGTGCGCATGGGGTGGTCTCTGAGCGCGGCCGCTATGCGCGCAAGTCGTCCAGGGCGTAGCAGGCGTGGCATATTCTCGACACCATAGGGGGTGCACAAGGGGTGGTCTCTGAGCGCGGCCGCTATGCTCGCCTGCCGTCCAGGGAATAGCAGGCGTCTCACTGGCAGCCATCTCAGTTACTCTATACCAGCTAGGTCCCCTCACAGTTTGCAAATTGTGCTTGCCTGTCCTTCCCCGCACTAGTTGTTGCCAAAATTCGCTTCCATTTCGAATAAAATCGAAGTCACTCTTTGGCCCGAGGAGCGCTACAATCTAACGCATAAAACTTACCCGATGTTTAAAAAAAGAAGCAGCTGGAGGAATAAGAGGCAGAGGCGAAGGAGGGGGAGGTGGGGAGATCCTCGAAAGTCGGCTTGCCCGGCTCCACGCCCCACGCTTCTGGGTCCTCCAGCGAGTCGGCCTCCGCAGACATGAGGCCGCTCTGCAGGAGCTCCTCGGCCCGCGGGCCGGCCACCTTCTTCCCCCCGCATCCGCGGTGCGGCCGGCCGCTCCCTGGCTGCGTCGCCTCGTCTTAGTTCTCTTCGATTCAGTGCTCTCAGCGCCGTGGTTATCACAACTGCAGTCACCAGGCTACAGTAAGGAGCGAAAGGGCTTCTCTCGGGGACCTGCTGACCGGGGTCAATCCAGACCCGGGTCAGTCAGGCCTTGCAGAGTCCTGCAAGATCCTGCAAAATCCTGCACCCAAACCCGGGTCAATGCGAAGGATCCTGCAAGATCCTGCAGGATCCTGCACCCAAACCCGGGTCAATGCGACCCTGGCCCTGCAGGATCCTGCAAGGTCGGGGCGCTCTGGCTGACCCCCGTTTGCACTGACCGCCGTCTCGAGGCTCCCGATTCTCTGGCCACGGCAAACCCCGGCCACTGTCAGGCTCCCCGACCAGATCCACGGAGCGGCCCGAAAACCAAAGAGCCACTGCGGAGCCGGCAACGGTCGTCGTCTCAGCGTCTCGGCTGTATCGCTGCTTCGAATGAGAACTAGCAAATGGTTACGAATAGTGCTTTAACTATCCGCGTGCATAATGTTGAATTTATAACTGGTGGGCGCGTGAGTAACCTGCTCACGATGATAGCATTGAGTACTAGTAGTAGTAGTAGTAGTAGTAGTAGTAGTAGTAGTAGTAGTAGTAGTAGTAGTAGTAGTAGTAGTAGTAGTAGTAGTAGTAGTAGTAGTAGTAGTAGTAGTAGTAGTAGTAGTAGTAGTAGTAGTAGTAGTAGTAGTAGTAGTAGTAGTAGTAGTGGTGGTGGTAGTAGTAGTAGCAGTAGTAATAGTACTAGTAGTAGTAGTCGTGGAAGTAGCAGTAGCAAGAGTAGTAGTAGTAGTAGTAGTAGTAACAGTAGTAGTAGCAGTAGTAGTAGTAGTAGTACCAGTGGTAGAACTAATAATAATGAGAACAATAATCGTAATCGTAGTAGTAGTAGCAGTAGTGGTCGTAGTAGTAGTAGTGGTAGTAGGAGTCGTAGGATAGGAGTAGGACTAGGAGTAGGAGTGGGAGAAAGAGTAGCAATAATACTAATCGTATTAGTAGTACCAGTAGCACCTAGTAGTAGTAGTAGTAGTAGTAGTAGTAGTAGTAGTAGTAGTAGTAGTACTAGTACTAGTAGTAGTAGCGGTAGTAGTAGTAGTAGTAGTAGCTGCAGTAGTAGCTATAGTGATAGTAATAGTAGCAGTAGTAGCTATAGAAGTAGTAGTGGTAGTAGTAGTAGTTGTAGTAGTAGTAGTAGTAACAGTCGTAGTAGTAGTAGTAGTAGTAGTAGTAGTAGTAGTAGTAGTAGTAGTAGTAGTAGTAGTGGTAGTAGTAATAGTAATGGTAGTAGTAGTAGTAGAAGTAGTAGTAGTTGTAGTAGTAGTTGGTAGTAGTAGTAGTGTAGTAGTAGTAGTAGTAGGTAGTAGTAGTAGTAGTAGTAGTAGTAGTAGTAGTAGTAGTAGTAGTCGTAGTCGTAGTCGTAGTCGTAGTAGTAGTAGTAGTAGTAGTAGTAGTAGTAGTAGTAGTAGTAGTAGTAGTAGTAGTAGTAGTAGTAGTAGTAGTAGTAGTAGTAGTAGTAGTAGTAGTAGTAGTAGTAGTAGTAGTAGTAGTAGTAGTAGTAGTAGTAGTAGTAGTAGTAGTAGTAGTAGTAGTAGTAGTAGTAATAGTAGTAGCATTAGTAGTAGTAGTAGTAGTAGGAGGAGGAGGAGGAGTAGTAGTAGTAGCAGCAGTAGTAGTAGTAGTAGAAGAAGAAGAAGAAGTAGGGTTTCCCGGGGTTTCCCCAAGGCCTCGTGGATCCTCCTGAAGCCTCCTGCGACATCCTGGGGGTTCCTGGGAGTCCCCGGGGCTTCCTGACACCTCCGAGTGCTTCCTGGATTCTCCTGGAACCTCCTGGGGCTTCCTGGGCCCTCCTGAACACTCCTGGGGTTTCCTGGGGTTCGCTAGGGTTTCCTGCAACCTCCTAGGGCCTCCTGGGGCCTCCTGGGGCCTCCTGAAGCTTCCCGGGGCCTCCTCGGCTCGCGCTGACATGCCACTGCAGTCTTTGAGACGCGCCAGGAATTTCCAATTGGTAACCACCACCGTGGCTGCAGCAGTTGTGGCGAACCACTTTGCCGATCCGATTTCGGTCCCAGGTTGCGCCAGCACTGTGTCCTATGTTGTGGGAGGGCGGGTGAGAGTGGGCATTCCATGCTTGACTCGCTCGAGCTGGCTAGCTTGACTCCCAGTCCTACTCCTACCAGAATTCCGACTTCTACTACTACTACTACTACTACTACT